GATCTTGGCTGACTCCAGAGTGCTGATCGCGACAACGACTGAGATCGATAAGGTACCCGAGGGCATACGAGGCCTGTTCACCCACGAATTAGAGATGACTGCACCCGACGAAGGCGAAAGGCAAGGCATCTTGCGTAGTATCATCGATGATGCCGGTATTCGACTGTCTCCAGAAGTCGATCTTGGCAACGTTGCTGTCAAAACCGCTGCCTTGGTAGCTGGAGACCTTGTTGATGTGGTTGATAGAGCTCTTGTATCGAAGCGCACGCGCATAGAGGAGCTTGCAGCAGCAGCGAGCAAGGCGTCAACACTGGCAGAAGCGGTAACGATCAGAGATGTTGAACTCGCGGGTGGCCACTTTAGCAATAGCATCACAAAGGCTGACCTCGATACCGCTGTCGACGCCGCCAGGAAGAACTTTGCTGACGCGATTGGTGCGCCCAAGATCCCAAATGTTGGCTGGTCAGATGTCGGCGGCCTGTCCCACGTCAAAGACGCAGTCATGGAGACAATCCAACTGCCACTCTCTCGTCCTGAGCTCTTTGCGAAGGGCATGAAGAAGCGCAGCGGTATTCTCTTCTACGGACCTCCAGGAACCGGAAAAACTCTTCTTGCAAAGGCCATTGCTACCGAGTTCTCACTCAACTTCTTCAGCGTCAAGGGACCGGAGCTGCTGAACATGTACATTGGTGAGTCGGAAGCCAACGTCCGACGTGTCTTCCAGCGTGCTCGCGATGCCCGTCCCTGCGTTGTGTTCTTTGACGAATTGGACTCCGTCGCGCCGAAGCGTGGCAACCAGGGTGACAGCGGCGGTGTCATGGATCGTATCGTGAGTCAGTTGCTTGCTGAGCTCGATGGTATGAGCGACGGAGGCGAAGGTGTGTTTGTCATTGGCGCGACGAATCGCCCAGATTTGCTCGATCAAGCTCTCCTGCGTCCTGGGCGATTCGACAAGATGCTGTACCTGGGGGTCAGTGACACGCATGAGAAACAGCAGACCATTCTGGAGGCGCTGAGCAGAAAGTAAATAACCCCAACCCATTCGCTTCCGTCTCGCTAATAACTATACAGGTTCACCCTCCACCCCGATCTGTCTCTCGCACGCGTCTCGCAGGGCCTGCCCTTCACTTACACAGGTGCAGACATGTACGCGCTCTGTTCCGACGCTATGCTCAAGGCCATAACGCGGCAAGCGCGTGCTGTGGACGAGAAAGTCGCAGAGTACAATAAAACGCACAACCCACACATCACCATCGCATACTTTTTCGACCACCTGGCGACTGAGGAAGATACGGCCGTCATGGTTACGGAGCAGGACTTTATGGACGCGCACAAAGAGCTGGTTCCCAGTGTCAGTGCAGACGAACTTCGTCACTACGACAGAGTCCGCAGGACATTCGAAGGCGCAGGAAAGCCAGACGAGAAGAAGAAACAGCCAGCCATCACGAATGGCAGCGCAACAGCCGCTCCTTCAGCCAACAACAAGGGCAAAGGGAAAGCAGCCGCGCCAACCAATGAGACGGAAGGTATCGTCATTCGCACTGAAAACATCGATCTAAACGGTAATGGAAACGAAACAAGCGGGAGCAGCAAGGGTAAGGGAAAAGCGCCTGCAACCGGCCACGCGAGCAAGAGCAGCGTTGACATTGCGGAAGGGGGATTCGGCAATGCTGGAGACGATGAAGAATTGTACTCTTAAACGTAGGATCCACATCGCGTTGTCAGCGCAGTAGGGGAAGCAAACTGCCTCTTGGAGGACTTCAAAATACAAACAATGTCTCGTATGACGAAATCCATATAGCAGGAGATCATGTGTCCTGCGTTTCAAAGAAATCTACACTAAACTACTCCTCCGACAGCGGCTTGAGCCCAACCTTGGGGTTAATAAAGTCAAACACAGTCCGGTGCCACAGGAGACTGTTCTCAGGCTTAAGGACCCAATGATTCTCGTCCGGAAAAGTTAGAAACTGGCTCTCCACACCCCGACTCTGCAGCGTATGGAACGCCGCCAACCCCTCACCAATCAGCAGCCTATAATCGAGCTCACTATGAATGATAAGCTGCGGCGTGCTCCAGTGCTCCGTGTGCTGGCTCGGATCCCATTTCGCCCACCCGGAGCGGTTCTTCCAAGGTAGGCCCTGCAGGTCGTGTTTCGGGAAGTAGAGTTCCTCCGAGGACATCTGGCTCGCCATGCTGAAGACGCCGTCGTGGGTCACGAGGGCGCGGAAGTGGCGGCCTAAGGGCTGGCCTTGGACCCAGTTCATCATGAAGCCGCCGTACGAGGCGCCTAGGGCGACGGAGCGCGTGGTGTCGACGTAAGAGAGGTTATGCTTGATCCATTCGAAGCCCAGCACGAGATCTTGGTACGGTAGTCCGCCCCATTGGCCTTGGATGGCGTCGGTAAAGGATTGCCCGTAGCTGGTGCTGCCGGTGGGGTTGGGGCAGATGACGACGTAGCCTTGTTCGGCGAAGACGGCGGGGTTCCAGCGCGTGCTCCACGAGTCTTCCCAGGCGCCTTGGGGGCCGCCGTGGATCAGGTACGCAAGTGGGTACTTCTTATCTGAGGAGAAGTTGCTGGGCTTGACGACCCAGGCGTGCACTGAGGTGTTGTCGGCAGCGCCATCCCAGTGGATCTCGCTGATCTGGGAACGCGAGAGACCGAACATTGAGCCTGAGCGCGTGTTCGAGGAAATGTACCGCGTGGTAAGGCTGTCAGAATCTGAGTCTGACGAGCTGTCCGAAATGGGCAGGGCGTAAGTGTTTTCGTGGTTCTTGTGGTCGCTGACGGGCACGAAAGAGTACAGACTGTTCTCTATCAAGCTGTTCGAGCTGATGAAAATGTTGCCAGACTCAAGCACTTTGACATCTGCCACGTTGCCACCTTTCACGAGAACCGAGGGAAGAGGTGAGTCTTCACCTGGGCGCTTCGGAGGTCCCGCATGGAAAAGGTTTGTGCGTCCATGCTCTTCCGCTGTGAAGTACAGGTGCCAGTCATCCGGGCTCCATGCAATGGATTGCGGACTTCGGTCCCACTTGCCTTTTCCGTCCTTGGAGGCATACAGGAGAGTGGGTGGGTTCTGTAGATTGCTGTAATCATGAAGGATGAAAGCTTGGTTCTTGTCCGATTCATACCCGTCGGTCCTCATCCCCAAGAACGCAATCATCTTTCCAGAGTGCGACCAAACAGGGCTTGTGCATGCGCCCTCGAATCCATGCGCCTTTGCTAGCTCAACCTGCTGTATCTCCAGTGTATCACTGGAGCAGTCATCCACATGATCCCAGTACTTCGGATCCGCGCGTGCAGAGATGTAGATGTTAGTCCTTGTGTGCAGAGCAGGGTTGAGGTCAGGATCTTTCGCCGTGAAAACCAGTCCATTCTTGGAGATGTCAAAATGGTCTTTTCCACCAAAGGGGTCGATTGGGCTTTCAAGCTTAGATCCCTTCAGGGCGTTCTTCAGCGCGGATGACTCGAATTTTCCATCCTTTTTCGTGAGCTTTCCGAGCCAGATGGCGTTTTTGTTTTCCGTAGTATAATGATCCCAATGCCTTACGAACATTGACTTGTAGAGTCTGCCAGATGTGTGGGGCTTCTCTGCCTTTTCCGGATTGTACAGCGAGCCATCAGGCTTTGCTTTTCCGGACACAGCGAACGCGATCTGGTCATCGCTGAGTCTGTACGTTTTGAGGTCGCCGACAGGGCCTTCGATGGTGCCAGCGATGTAGTTGCTGTGGAGGCAGTCAGTATTGTGTAATGAGCAGATGGCACGTGACATACTCGTTGTCGAAACTGTCTGCCTTTCCGACCACCACATTCGTAATTCCGTCATCACCAGACCTCAGGAGGAGAATAGTGTCATCGTCGATCCAGGTCGGTTCACTGGCAGACTTGTCGTCTGTGATCAGACTGGTCTGCTGACTAGCAACATCAAGGACCCGAATTTCTGACTTCTTTGAATGGTCCGTGAAGCTATAAGTCGAGACACTGTAGAGCACCTTCGATGCGTCTGAGTTGGGAATACCCTCAGACCTGCGAGGGGCGCTGAGGAGCACCTCAGGGGTAAATTTGGAGGCCCTGATTGTCATGTTGAGTATATGAGATAGCAAAACGTGGAATGGGTGCCTACATGTTGTCAGTCTCGTGTTCTGGAGAGGAAGATGTAGAATGAAGACAGCGGTGGGTGGGTGTTATAGAACGAGGCTGGCGAAAAATGGAAGGCGTCAATCGACGCGAAGACGTTGTCAAATCCCGGTAGTGCTGCAGCTGCAACGCAGCTCCACGACCTGAAACATGCAAAGCGCTCTGTGGGCGACATTTAACGCGTACATGACTGTAAATAGACAAAGGAGCTGTTTGGCGCCGACATGGAACTCTCAGACATGAACGCGCCGGAAGAGAGATCAATTGCATCGTGTGGAGAGTTCCTTCGAGCACCGACTTACCAGAAGCCAGCTTACGATTGCAGCGAAGGTGTATGAATGCACTATGAGATGAACGATGAGAGTGAAACGAGCACCGTGATGATGGTGGTCGGAAGCCGGAGCCTCTAGCGCATCGTGGTTGGTCAACCCACCCAGCCACGCCATGGAGTCCAACACCACAATAACCTAGTCAGAATTTGTAAGAGCTCAGAAGACGTGTAGTCCTTAAAACACCTGTAAGCTCAAGATCCTTCTGCAATCCTATACTAATTACCTCCCAGATTCTAGAGAACGCATGCTTGTTTCCGAACCTTTCTGCAGCTTAAGAGGTTGGTCAATCCCTTCCGTCTCAGGCACACCGTACCAATGCGCGTCGAAGGCGTCATCATCGACCAAGTTGATCGACCCCGCTCGCGTCTCCGCGAGCCTATCGCTCAGTGCTACCCACCCCGATCTTAGCCTCACTGTCATCATCACTCTCATTTTCATTTTCACCGGTTTATACTCTTACCAACGAAAATTCTCTTATCAAAACTTCCTGAAACAGGGACGCTGAGCGTTCAAAAATGGGTCTCTCCATTATTCCTGTGGCGCAGTGGTAGCGCGCCGTTCTTATAAGATTCGTCAGACTCTTATGACTCATCTGGGTTATGCGGATGCCGTGGGTTCGATCCCCACCAGGTACGTTCCTCCTCTGAAGGAGAAGTTGTATCTGCTTCCTGTACTAATATGGTATAGGAATACATGAACCAATGTTTCTACCTTTTTTGTTGTGTTTTTTGCATTTTCCATTGTTGACGAACACAGTGAAGCTGGACTTGCTTGGTTCGTGGGCACTCCTGTAACACAAAGATCATTGTACGATTGGTGACTGTTGTTTTATTGCTCAAGAAGCTTGGAGGATGTATTGCACGCCTGGGTATTGTATTGCACATGTCCTCTGCCAGCCGAACTATCTACATGGTGATCATGACACTCGCGTTCTTGTACCAACTGACGAGCGGATTGTCCCCGTTCTTCGTGCTCGTCTCCGCAATGTCTGCCCTACCTGCCATGAAGTCTTCGTGGGTGTATGTGCGCGCAAACTTGCCCGTGATGGCGGTGTACATGGGCTCCATGACCTCGAAATCGGTGGGGAAGAGGATGTCGAAGTAGCCTTGATGGACCTGCAGGGTTGTTAACAGATGTGTAGCGAGGAGAGGAAGGGAGAAGCGTACCAGAGGTGTAGAGACAGGAATCATCTGCCTCTTGTACCTCGTCTGCACGACGGGTGCGTTGATGCCTTCAACTGCCTCGCCCAGCTTGTTGAAATCGGAACTGATGAGCTTGTGGTTGGGGAATTTGGAGGCGAGGATGTGGAAAAACTGCATCAGCCGCGTGGGGATATATTCTGGCTGGCTGAGGTTCGTGCGGAATGGGACCAAGCTCTTCAGACTCTGCATCAAGCGCGAGCCCTGAAGTGGGTGCGGGTACGTCTCACACGCTGCGTGTCTCCGTGCAATGAATTGCGTGGCTACAGGGTCGAGGGTGCGGGAGTAGTATTCAAAGAGCTCGCCGCGCGGGTCAACGACGACGTGCGATTGATACGGGGATCCGGTCTCGTTGTCGTATTTCAGCGCGTCGTGGGCAAAGTTGTCAAAGACCTCAAGCGCGAGGAAGTAGCAGGGCGAGGAGACGTATTGGTTCCAGTCGAAGATGGAGCGGTTGACAATCTCGACTTTGTCTGAATGGCCTCGCGCGTAGGCTGAGTGTCCCAACCCTTTCTGTTGCAGGTCCGCTAGTTGGCTCGAGATTTCAATGATGCGGTACTTTGTGCGCTCGTACACGTCTGGGTGCACGTCACGGATGTAGTCGAGGATGTTCAGCATCATGGTTCCGTTTCCTGCTCCCATCTCGTAGATGATGAGGTCCTGGTAAGGGAAGAAGTTGTACTTGTAGTCCTCCACCAGGTAGCGCGCGAGTGCTTCTCCGTAGTACGGCGAGAACAGCTCGGTCGGCGTATGCCAGAGCTGACGGAGTTCATTGGGTTCTTGCAAGTCGAGCGCATCCTCGAAGTCGGTATACCGGTGCCGTAGCTGCTGGAAGAACTCGTGTTCCGACTTCATGCCGTTGAAGTTGAAAGGATCGCCCGGAGAGAAGATGACGACTTGCTTTGAGAAGTAGCCGTAGCTTGGGTTGTATAGGCTGTCTTCAATGAAGTCGCGCATCAACATCTTCACTCTCCGCGGTCTCTCTTTCCTGCTGCGCAGCATGTCCGATGTGACCATGGGGTATCTGTCAAACTCCTCTGTCCTCTCCTGCGGAAATGCATTCTTCCTTGGTGTCCACCGGCTCTCCCTGCTCGTCTCTCCCTCACCCAAACGTGTGGCCTTCCCCCGGCGCTGAAGCTGGGGAACGCGTGCGCTCGTGAGCGCTGGTCGAGCTCCGCGGGCAAGGCATTGCGCTGCTCGGTGCGAGAAAAGCTGGCGGAAGAGTTGTGTGGCGAGCGGCGAGTCCATTGGCGCCGGCACGAGTCGTCTGAACTGGGCTGCGACAGTTGGGGGAGCTCTCTACGCGAATGCACGTGGTGGAGTTTGCGGTCGCCCTGCCCTGCCAAGCCGCGGCCGTTGTCAGCGTTCGTGCTCCGAGCCATTCCCGCACTCAACACCATCTTGCTCGCCCGCAAATATCTGAAAATGCCTGATTACACCAGGTACTATATTGCTGGGGCATTTCTCACTGGAATAGCCCTGACTACAGCTTACAGCCGGCGGTCAATAGATTCATCGACAAATGCCAACCCTGAACGCAATCAAAAGCAACAACACAAGCTGCTTTCTAAACTATCAAAGATCAATGATTTGGATGCGTTGAAAAAGACACTGGTAGAGCTCGAAAGCTCGTTGGCGAAAGGCGAAGGCGCCGGTGACATCAAAAATGGCATTGAAGGCTGCATTGGCGACACGCCACTTATCAGGATCAAGTCACTGTCCGAGTACACGGGATGTGACATCTTGGTCAAGGCTGAGGTGGGGTTTCGATATTTACAGCTTACTCTCCGGACTAACTGTTGCAAACAGTTTCTTAACGGCGCTGGCAACAGCCCCAAGGACCGTGTTGCCCTCAGTATCATTGAAATGGTATAGCCACTCTGACTAGTCTTGAGGTATGGCTACTGACGTGTGCGCAGGCTGAAGAGAAAGGATTGCTTATTCCCAACTCTGGTGACACTATCTACGAGGGCACCGTTGGCAGCACTGGCATCTCCCTGGCCGCAATTTGCAGAGCGCGTGGCTACAAAGCGCACATGTGAGCAGGTTTTGTACGGAAACCTACAGTTGCTGATCGTTGCTAGTTGCATGCCAAACGACATGGCCGTCGAGAAATCTGACATTCTATTGAAGCTGGGTGCAGAAGTGGAGAGAGTCAAGCCAGCACCTATTGTGGATCAGAAGCAATTTGTCAATCTTGCGCGAACGCGTGCAGCTGAGCATACAGCTAGTGTCGACAAGCCTGGACGTGGATTGTTTGCCGATCAATTTGAGACAGAGGCGAACTGGCGCGCCCACTTCACCGGTACTGGACCTGAAATCTACGAGCAAACAGGCGGGTCACTGGATGCTTTCGTAAGCGGTGCTGGCACTGGAGGCACCATATCCGGCGTCGCCCTTTTTCTGAAATCGCGTCTGCCGGACGTCAAGATTGTGCTTGCCGATCCTCCAGGCAGCGGCCTTTTCAATCGCGTCAAGTATGGAGTCATGTTTGACCCAAAAGAAAGAGAAGGGACACGCCGGCGCCACCAAGTCGATACGATCGTTGAGGGCATTGGTATCAATCGTGTTACTCACAACTTCGACGTTGGAAGAGAGCTCATTGATGATGCAATCAGGGTCAACGACGAGCAGGCGACTGCCATGGCACGCTGGCTGGTCGAGCATGACGGCATTTTCGTTGGCAGCTCCAGCGCTGTCAATTGTAAGTCACGACTGAAGTTCGGTATGCACACAGACATTGACTCTTACAGGCGTGGCTGCTACCAAGCTAGCAAAGCAATTAGGTCCTGGTCATCGCATTGTCACATTGTTGTGCGACAGGTAAACCTCATGCACGATCCTTTGCAGTACAAACTAACATTCTACAGTGGCGCGAGACATCTTAGCAAATTCTGGGCTCAGACTAAGCCCGTTGGTGGCGCAGAAAACGACGTGTCTCTTGAACAGATTCTCAATCCTTGACAATGCCAATAAACTGAACGTCAAAGGCCGATCTTCGATACCGACCACCTACTCGCAAACTCCTGGCCCCGGAAAGTGAGAAGTCGTCGCTTCCACGTGCTCCGCAAAGAGCTATGAAACAACTACACAGGGCCGCCTCCGGGTGATGAAAGGTGTGGTCAGCACAACCCAATACCATTCACGTTGCGCCATTTTCATTCAAATACTACGGTCGATGGAATTTCGAGGTTCTGCACAAGTCTTAACAACAGCGTTGTGCAAAACATCCTGCCATCCACTCGAAGACAATAGGCACGTGACGGGGCCAGACAAAGCTTCCACGCTTCACATCTGCAAAGACAGGCTGTCTTGTGTACGTAACAAAGAGCAAAGCCCCAACAAAGATGTCTCCCCAGAACCTCGCTTTGAGCGTTTGTGCTCGCATTATAAATGCCCAGGAGCCCATGTCCCGGCCGCTTGCTTGCATCAGCTTCTCAAAAGCAGGCGGCAGCAAACTTGCTAGGACCACGAATCGGCAGTCCAACAGACCCCTACGATCAAGCAGGACCCATGTCTACCTTCCGTTTGAACAAGGGAAACAAGGTCAGCAAAGCAAACCGCCCGAAGACCCGGCTTGTGGACCGACGCTTTGCCAAGATGAAGAGCAGATTCCACCTGCGGACCAGAAAGTCCCTTTCCGAGCGGAACCCAGGTCTAGCAGAGAAGATCTCCCAAATGCGTCTAACCATCGCCCCCATCATCCACATCATCAGCGGTCAGCCTGCCCCAGACTTCCCACACACAATGCTCTCCCTCTTCACCCTCACCGAAGCCCAACTCGACGCACTCGCAACCTACTACAGCCAAAGCCACACGCCCACGGAGCTGACCTACCGCTACCCGCAGACCATGGACTGGAACAAGCCCTTCCTCGCCACCGACGCCGCGTTATCCGACGACTGCAAGCTGACGGAGATGGAGCGTCTGAAAGTTAAGATGCGCATGTTTGCGCGCTTCATAGGTATGCGGGGTGCGGATACGCCGCTGTGGGAGCATGAGCGCCAGGTGGAGATTCTGGGAAATAAAATTGCGGCTGTGGTGCGCGATGAGGAAGAGGAGTCGATTCGTAATAAGGCGTATCGGGGACCGAATATGCGGTATTGATGGTGGGGATGGAGGGGGAGGGGGTTGTGGTGTGTGTATCGCAGCATAGCATTTGCAGCGTTTGTGGCATGGAGCGCAAATTGTTAGTTTACGTGGAAGTTCTTTGCGTTAAATGCTGAGTTGTACATCCTTCGCTTGTCAAATGGTTTGCTCGTGCTTGATTGTCCTCACTGGACGGCTTTAGAGGGAAAAAGGGTAGGGGCGAATAGTGTATCATCACATCAGGCCATCACTATTGCATACTGATGCTGACGGTGGTGTTGGTACTGATACAATCGTCGCGCTTATTCTACACTTGCCGTATACATTGCTCCACAGCTTCACTTATT